CGGAGGAATGAGCTGAGCAGCAATGGACACCGCTGTTCGACATGGAGCTTGACACGATACCGTGGGGAGCGCCTGGGAGATGGGGCACTTGTGGACTGCCAAACCTCCAGCACTTCGGAACCAGCGCCGGCAGGCAGAACATTGTCGGCTACCTCTCTATACCGATACAGGTTTGCGGCGCTCACCTAGGCATTTGTGACGAGGCAAACCACTCCTGGAGAAGAGACGACCACACTCAGCACAAGGTACCTGCAGGGGCGCACAAACCGGTTCGGGCGGGGGGCAGAACATTGTAAGCGGCCCGCCGTTCCCGTCTATCCTCGGCAAAGTCGTACCGTTTGTCGATGTCCAACACCGCCAGATCCCTCCGCGCAGCATTGCGCCACCTTTTTCTCGGGCCGCATATCGAACGGACAGGATGCAGGGTACCAAACAGTAGCTGATGCGGGCACGCTCTTCATGCATTTGCACAACATGCTCAAGCCACTCCATGTGGCGCGATGTCAGCAGGCTGGGGATGTCACGGGGCTGACTCGGATTCCATCGTGCCAGAACATCAACCCTGGTCAGTCATTCGTCCACCCATTACGAAACGGATGCAGCACAGATGGAAAGAGTACAGTGCATCAAGGTCGGGCTTCAATGGCACCCAGCACTCAGCACAGTACAGAAGCAGAGATAACACGCATGCCTCGTACACAAGCCGTGTCGTAGCAAGGGAAAGGTTGCTGTCAAATGCATGTGATGCACGGCAATGCGCGAGCTGAAATCCGGGGTGGATCAGCCATTCGTGTGAAGGAGGGAGCCAAGATAACGAAAACTATCTACACACTCGACCACCTCACCCGCCACGTCCAGGGGCAGCCGGTCTGCTTCCGTGAGTCCATATCCAGCAGCCATCACCTTTGTCTTGTCCAAGTTGACTATCAAGCCGACAGAAGACGCTACATATATGAATAGGTCAAGGGCCCGCTGTGCATCATCATGAGTGGTAGCCAGCACACACACGCACCCGCCCGCCCGCCTGCCCGCACGCACGCATGCATGCACGCGCACACACACACACACACACACACACACACGCACACACACACACACACACATACACACACACATACACACACACACACACACAAGCCAGCCCTCAAAACCATGCACCCCCCCCCCCCTCCACAACACACACATACGCACCTGTCCTGTAGTGCATCTGCTTCATAACATTACTCATTCATGTCTCCTCCAGAGATGACACATGCCCGCACACGCACGCACGCACGCACAGACCAATGCATACACACACAACACACACACATACACACACACGAGCGCACACGTGCGCTTACAAGTCACACCCGGGGAATGCCTCACCATTTTTGGGGCTGATGCTAGCTTTTGAAACTCACGACAACAACGTGCTATGATCGCAGCTCAGTGTCAAATCAAAATCAAACTTTCACATTTCCCAAATGAGGAACATGGCAAGTTTCTGCTACAATGGAGTGTAGGACAATGGCAAGTTGCTGTTACGCCGGAGTGTGGACAGTAGCCAAGGGCTGGCGAACGTCACCTTTTCTGGTTTGAGAACACCCGTCGCAGCTTTCTTGAAAATCACTTCACATCACTTGACAAGACTCGTCTCCAAGTTCGGAACTCTGTTCTATAAAGTCATCTCAAGACACATGTGTATTGCGCGGCTGTGTCAGGTGTATCTGGGAGATCGTGTACGATTGTCGACCGGGCAGCGGTTTGCGAAGACAACATCGCACAAGAAAAACATATCGGTAGTCAAGAAGATACTAGGCCAAAAAAGCAGGAACTCCAACGGTAGGAGTAGTCACCTTTTTCAAAAGTATCTTTTCAGTGAAACAGTGAGTCTGTCCATTGAAATTGCTGGAGGAATCAGGGAATGGCGATGATACTCGGTGAAGTCAAGCCACAGCATAGTCCAGTGGACCGTGGATAAACACAAGCTGTGATCACAATTGGCACGTTTACTCGTGAAACCACACGTTTATTCATTTTTGCTGCCTTTTGGTGCGTTATGCGTGTGGAACGAACCGAAGTGAAAACTCAAACATGTTCAATTTTTCAGCGTGTACATAATGTACATGTCTGTGACCAGTCCAGCAGCAAGCCAACAGCCGCCAGTGCTCCCAGTGTCACCGATTGTTTCTGAGTGCGGGTGGCATTGCAGTCCATCGCTGTGCCCAGTCCAGTTCTGCCCTGAATGTTGCCAATGCCACAAGCTCTTCACCTGTACGCCTATGTATTCGGAAACCGTGCTGTACCGCTCACTGTCCCATTTGTGAACGTTGCTGCAAGTCGATCCGGGGCTTTGCTATCCACAACTGCAACCGATCCACCAGGCGCCCAACTGCTGATGAAAGGGACAAGTTCCAATTGCAATGTCAGAATTGCCAGAGGCGTTTCAAAAGGCGAAACGACTTAACCCGAAACCAACGCTCATGTCTCCTCTCGTCTCCGTCTCGCTCAACGAGAAACACGGGACCTACATGGCAGTGTTTACCAGGACCAGGGACCAGGTGTGTGTGTGTGTGTGTGTGTGTGTGTTTGTGTGTGTGTGTGTTTCTGTGTGTGTCAGTGTGTAGGTGTATAACTATGTGCATATTACCTACCAGTAATGGCTCCTTCTCTCCCCTTCCGTTGGTATATGTCTGGTTTGATACACCTTCCTTCAAGGTACCGTCCTCTTGAAGGATTGCCTTCCTCAACTTCTGATGATCTTTGCTCCGTACAAGGCGGAGCAGGTACTTCGCCTCGGGAAGAGTCTTCATTGCCATGGTTACACCTGTAGTACACCGGACAAAATGAGAGAAATTCCAGTCAATGCTAATGTATGCTATGTTTGTCATAACTATGCAAAACATCACAATACAATAGACTCTGATAGGCATACTGTGCCACTCCTGCCTGGATTGGCAGTTGAGTAGAAGTGTGCAGATAAGAATTGAATACTTGAGTAGCAAGTAGAATGTTGAGCACACTTGAGGATCTCTACGTACATGTCCAGGCATATGAAATCACAGCACATAGTATTAGCCTGGTCAGACAGCAGCAAATAAATACTCATGGGATTATTCTACAAATCTTCAACATGGCCAGCAATCGAGGACATCTGAGAGTTGTAATTTGTGTACTCCTCCGAGGTGTGATTTTTGGCGTGCTGGGCCAAGCGCACAAGGTAGCCATCTGCAAAAAAACTAAAGAAAATGGTTGTTGTTTGATCCTTTAGTGTAATCTTTATTTGACTGTATACTTGCAACATCGATGTACGTGTAAAGTACAAGCTCGAACTGAGAAACATCGACGCGATCACCGTCACCGTCTTTTGAGCTGACTACTTTTCTTACATACAGCATGCAGGACGGGAAGGCTCAGTATGTGTCTACACTAGCTGCAGGTGCTGGATGGAGTTCCCTCCACGTGCGGGTAGTCTTGAGCTAGACAGCAAAGTAGTCTTCAGTTTCATGTTTTCCGTTCTGTCGACGGTTCCCGAACCAGTTTGCTCGACGACGAGCTAGGCCTAGTGTCTGGGCCTATTTTGAGCATAGACAGGGAAAGCTACTAGTTGTTGGTGCGTCTCAAGTCAGCTCATCCGTCGAAATCCGCCGATCTGCACCCCTGGCCGGCTTCTCTGACTTCATCGTCGGAGTCAGCAAAGTCACAGGCGAAGGGCACCATCAGCTCTTGGCTTGCAACCAGTGAGTTGCCTCTGTCTTGTCTGTATTCGTCTGGTCAGTCCGAACAGCTGACAGACTTGTTGTGGGATCATTGGATCTAAGCGCCCGCTTTCCGTCGTTGGCGATGTTGGGCTCGTAAATTTTTTTTAATTCACAGAATGTACATGGCATTGTACTGATGTAGTTACTATAATAATCGTTTAGCCGATAAGCCGATCGTTATGGTATCAGCTAAGCCACTAAGGAAAAACGTAATCGTTTAAGCACTACATGCAGGTGTATATTTTTGACATTTTCACTAGTGATATTCTTTCAAGGATGTGATAATATGATACACAATGATTTGTCAAGCTGATAAAAACAAAAACAATTTTTATTCATTGCTGACTGCGCTTCTTGACATGCAGTGTTGCTCAATAAAATCCGGTCGAGTGCGTCAAGTTTGTGCCTTGCAACATTTCACCTTGCATCATAATTCTTTTCTCAGCCTAGCGTTCGCAGGTCTGGGGCTGTGCAACGCCTGGCACGTACTTGATTGACACGACTGGATTTCATTGAGCAGCTCTGTAATAATTGTACTCCCACGTGATGTATTCCTGCCACGAATGATAAACAGACATTCTACATACCCGCCATGCCCTTTCCCTCCAATCACAACCATGGACAAATACACCGACCACCCCCCCCCCCCCCCCACCCCCCCCCCCCCCCAACACACACGTACACACACCACACGTACACACACCACACATTCACACACCACACGTTCACACACCACACGTTCACACACCACACGTTCACACACCACACGTTCACACACCACACGTACACACACCACACGCATACACACACACTATACATACATACACACACCACTCAAGCACCATGCACAGCGGCAAAGTACTCACCACCAATGCCAATGGCACCATATGTAGCGTGGTCTCTCACTCAGCAAGCACCGCTACCATCTACAATACTTCGCAAACTGCAAGAATTCTATCTCAAGTCTAAAGACGAACTCAGTCGTAAAATACAATTTTACGCGAAAGAAATTTCTTTCACCGACACAGCAAGCTGATCTAGAAAAGACGACAGGCTGGTCTCCAGCCAGTAGATATTTATACTAGTCCACTATCTAGTCATCTTCACTGTCTGTCCTCAGTGTGGCTCAACCGACAGCTGAATGATCTGTGCCGTTCTCAAACTCACTGACTGTTATCAGTATTCATGGTATTGGCTTGTCCGCAAAGCGCTGCATGAACTGCCTGTCCGTAGATCCAAGCCAAGGACGGTAGATCTACGCGGTGCGTGCGCCTCTCCGTGGTCTTCCGACCTCACCGAGTCAGTGATATGGCCTTGGCGCCGCGGGCCGCACTCCCGTCATAAACCTGACTATGGTACGAGGTCGAGGACGTAAGCCCTGTCGTTGGTTGACAGACTCAGTCTTTTGTCATCAAGACAACATCAACATGGATTCGTACGTTGTAGTCAAGCAGTTTTCTTGGATCATACCGGTCTGTCTACATCAGGGAGTCGTAAAAGGCTTTTACGACTCCCTGGTCTACATCAGTACTCATCAGTACTGACAGTAGGTCTACATGGTGGTATTCTCTTTGCATTTTTGCGCATGTGAGGATAGCGCTAGCGCGAGGGAGTAGGGGACAGACCGACCGTACGGCGGATGTCAGGGAGTCCTAAAATACCGGTATTTTGCGACTCACTGGTCGATGAGCTGCTAAATGACGTCGCCACACGTGCGAAAAATATGCCCTTTGCTCGGTACGCGGTGCAGCCTAGCCCCAGACTTATTTGCGAGCACTGCCCGTCTGTGATTTTTCACTCCTGCACGGCTAGCTGCAGGCCGCGAAGCTGACTCACTCGATCGGGTTTCATCTCTATCAAGTATCATAATTATAGTCTTTATCAGTCTCTCTCTCTCGTCCACCATGGTCTACCATGGTCCACCATGGTCTACATGTACTGTACCTGCTCCACATGATGCAGTGCACGTAACCGTTGCCCCAGCCCAGGTGCCTGCTGAATAACTGATTATGACTGTGTGTACGCCGACTGCGAGATGTAGCACGTGATTCATCTACACTTGACGTCAGTGTGCATGATATCAGAGTTTATTCATGCCAACTTGCGAAACTCATACTAGCAAGAGTAAGTTTAGGGGCCGTCCGTAAATATCGATGTTTTTTTCAAGACGATATTTGTTCATTTCTCCCTAGACCCCCTCCCTCCCCCCTCAAAACGAACATACACATGTTTATGCAAGGGATCGATATTTTTAATGAAGTTCAATTTCCTCATGAAACGTGACCAGTTGCCACTCTAATTTCACCATACACCTAGGTTTATGTTGCCACGGTCGCACAGCCTTGCCATGGCTATGCTCACGAGGTTGACTTTCACTTTGTGTAGGTCATAAACTACATGTTCGAACAGCGCCCGTCCATGGATAGAGTCGATATTTTTTTCTGCAAAGACGAGACGAACAGGGCCCAAACACCCTCCCCCCCCCCCCCCAAACGAACGAATATCTTCTCTAAAAAACCATCGATATTTGTGGACGACCCCTTAGTGCACAAAAGTCAAAACTACTACTACTACGGACAGTGTAGATGGGCATTTCAGTTTTACGGACCTGTCGATACATGATGTACAGAGTCAGTGCTGTACATCATCACTCAGGTCTGATTCTGTACATCTACAGTCATGTACATCATGTACATGTATGTAGAGTGCAGTTCACGCAAGTGTGCAAACACTTCGCTTGTGTATGGTGTGCAGTCTATCACCAATGGCAATGGCACCATGGTGTGCAGTCTATCATCAATGGCACCATGGTGTGCAGTCATGAAGTTGAGATTGTTCAATCCTGAGAGCTGGCACGGATTGTTAAAGGGGAAGTTAAGGCAAAAATCAAAATTTCACCAGTTGTAGTCTTCGGGGTGCTGAGTCGAATGGTCGTGGTACGAGGAAGCTGAGACGCTCCCTTCCTACTTGAATCCCAATCGAACTCGCGCACTTCCACCGAAACTGGGTGACTGCGCCCTACTAGATGGGGATTTGTATGCAAAATGTCACTAAAAGCGCCATTTCGTTCTTATAAAAGCACGGATGACCGCGATTGGCCCATATGTTGTAGTCTTTTGGACGCTGAGTCGATTGGTTTTGGTCCGAAAAGGCTGCGATGCAGCGTTCCTCCTTTATTCCCAATCGAACATGGTTGAACAAGCGGTCACGTGCTCCTGCGTACACCAGTCACCTGGTCACCGTGCCTGCAGGGTACAACTTACTAGCCTGTTTGACCTTTTTTGGGTGCAGTCCTGTCACTTGAGTTGAACCTTGGTGTGAAAGTTGTCGCCTGCTGCCGTGGTGACCAGGTGATTTGGGCACCCAGGAGCACGTGAACGCTTGTTCAACCATGTTCGATTGGGAATAAAGGAGGAACGCTGCATCGCAGCCTTTTCGGACCAAAACCAATCGACTCAGCGTCCAAAAGAGTACAACACATGGGCCAATCGCGGTCATCCGTGCTTTTATAAGAACGAAATGGCGCTTTTAGTGACATATTGCATACAAATCCCCATCTAGTAGGGCGCAGTCACCCAGTTTCGGTGGAAGTGCACGAGTTTGATTGGGATTCAAGTAGGAAGGGAGCGTCTCAGCTTCCTCGGACCACGACCATTCGACTCAGCACCCCGAAGACTACAACTGGTGAAATTTTAATTTTTGCCTTAACTTCCCCTTTAAAGAACTTCAAAGGTAGGTTTATGCCGGTGTGGGTGGACACTTTCTCAAAGATGCTCGCCACTTTTTTCGCAACTTTTCTTTGTTTCGGAAGAAATCGCAACTTTGCAAATGTCTTCATTTGCGCTAACTACTTCGCAACTTCGGCACAATGGCATGAGAGCCAAAAGAGTAAGTCACAGATTACATGTCGTATTCCCTTGTGCGTGCACTGAAATGATGGAGGTTAGGTTGCGTGCAACAGGCTACTAGCACTGTGTAAGGCTGGTTGCAGTTCACAGCAGGAAGGTCCGAAGGGGTATAGAGTTTGCTGTCACTGCACTTCTGCTACCTCCGCTTCTTGTTCTCGGTCTTGTTGGTCGTGTTGGTCGTGTTGGTCGTGTTGGTCGTGTTGGTCTTGTTGGTCTTGTTGCTCTTGTTGGTCTTGTTGCTCTTGTTGGTTTTGTTGGTCTTGTTGGTCTTGTTGGTCTTGTTGGTTTTGTTGGTCTTGTTGGTCTTGTTGGTCTTGTTGGTTTTGTTGGTTTTGTTGGTCTTGTTGGTTTTGTTGGTCTTGTTGGTCTTGTTGGTCTTGTTGCTCTTGGGTCTTGTTGCTCTTGTTGGTTGTTCCACTGTAATGGTATCACTCTAAGGAGGGTATGTACAAGAACTCTCTCATTTTTAGTTGCGATGTTTAGCAACGTTTGAGCTTTTTCTGAAAATATAGAATCTGATGCGATTTCAGCAAATTACACTTTTTGGCACGGTTGCAAAAAGCATAAGTTGCGAACAATTCTGACATCTTTGGCAAAGCGCTGACATTCATTTATGTACATGCTGTGTCGAACCTCAAAGTCTGCACCGCAAAACTAGCCACTGTCTAACACCGATATAAACAAGAAAAAGGAATGAATTACGAAACTCTGGTTGGGACTGTGGAACATGCGTCATTTGCTTAGGTACTTGTGACATGGTGAGGTGGTTTTCAGCGTTCTGCAACAAGCTTGTACAAGAGAATTGCATCGTTCCTAGCTGGCAAGCGTAATGAACCGTACGCGCGTATCATTGAAATCATTAGGTGCCGCATTTTACTTTGCCCTCCTACATAATTATACTTAGTACTTGAAGTACATCTACATGTACATGTACGTAAGCTATGACAAATATCTACATGTACATGTACGTATGCTATGACAAAATTAATATCAAAGAATTGACTCGGATGGAGAGCCAAGGATAAATTAATAGAAAAGAAAAAGGACCAAGGACTACACGTTACGCTATAATGAATTGATCAACGAACTTCCTGCCACCTTGGCCATTTCTGATAAAGCTATTAGTGTTTTGAGGCTTCAGAACTCACTAGTGCCAGTGAACACGAAAACTGTATACAATGCCCCTTCACAGAGAAGAGTGGATGCTCTCTAGGCTGTACAGTATACTACAGATGTAGAAACAATTACTTTGAAGTACAGAAGAGTGTCTCGTACTTTATATCCCTGGCATACTGTTGCTACACGATAGCAATGAATCATTGAATGTAAAAACACCAGTGCATGATATCAAGAGTACCTAACCCCTAACCCTTAACGCCTAACCCCGGGTTGTGTACACTTCATGATACATATGCTTAGTATCGTTTACCTTGACTCATCTTTCAATTCCTTCTTAACTTTCTGACATTATCTCCATCATTGGTCCTGTCTCCATCGACATGTTCTGCCAAATACTCCTTTACTTTTACCTACACAGTATCACACTATCAGAATAATGGACACATGGATTTGACTTAGCATGGATGACGTCATTAGACATTGATTACATACACACACAGCGAGGCGCAAAACAACAGACACCAAAGACTTTCTTCTGCTCAGCTGAGGTTTATCAAACAATACCAGGCCCGTCGTCTAGCTTGTGATATAAGCTAATTTAGGTGTTAGCATACCTTAACTAGGTGGTGATGTTAGTGCAAAGATTACCAAGTCGTTGTTGCTGTGATTGACAGCACACAGTCACGTGATTGCATAATAACAGTAGTTGCGGTGAAGGCAGTGCACTATAGTCAGTGACATGCGATATTGACATTTGTGATGGACATGAAAGAATGATGAAACAGAACAAAGAAGGAAAACTAAATGTTCGACCCCTACACCTCAACAGTATGGGAAATAGGTGCAATTGTGAAGACACATAGCAAGCGGTAAATGTAGTGCCACAAATCCAGACATCCAATGTACAAACATGTGACACGAATCCCAGCACAGTCAACTAGTGGACAGAAAGGCTATGTGGTTGTAACTCAGTGTGTCATGATCAACACTGCTATCATCAGGCAACGTCATAATGGTGCGTATGAGTATTATCATTGGCTTTTTCACAAAGCACTGCATCAACTGCCTGTCCCTTATGCCAAGGACGGTCAGTGCGCGAGCCTCTCTGTGGTCTTCCCACCTCACCCAGTCAGTGATAATTATGGTCTTGGCGCCGCGGGCCGCAGTCCCTTCATAAACCTGGCTATGGTACACAGACGACGTCATTGGTTGACAGTCTCTTGACAGTTTTGTCAACAGCACTTTTACACGTATTTGGACACGCGTTGATCTACTGAGTCGTAGTCAAGCCGTTCTTGGATATTTCTATTCTATTTACGCATGAGACTTGGGTGGCTGGAGAGCCGCACGGGAGATTTCAGGGAGTCGCAAAATACTTTTTTTTTCCGACTCCCTGGTCGATGCGCGGAGCTGTAAGTGTTTTAAGATTTGACATCGGATCGCGTGAGTCAAGCATTTTCGCTATGGAACTGGCCCCAGATTTGCGGACCCAGGGGTTTTCACTCCTCCAGGCTGCAAAGCTGACTCACTCGGTAAGCCTTCATCTCTCCCTCCCTCTCTCGTTTGCATGATGCAGTGCTCCTGACAGAACCAGTTCAGGTTATCACACGTGTACTGTTGCTCGATACAAAGTGTTTTTACAATAACGTGGGAGCAACAATAGACATTGAAAATTTAATAATGTGATCAGGGCTTGTTGTTATGACCATGACTCATGAGTGACTACTCGTATTAACAGTTTAACTGCCAATCATGCAAACGTTCATGTCTGTTACCAGAGGCAGAGAGTTACTGCCGACCAGCCCGCAGCCAGCATTCGACTGCGAAGGTCATTCGCCTGCGGCGGATGCTCAAGTTCCCCGAAGCAAGCGACAGCCCATCGCATTAGATAGAACGATAACTTGCAGCGCAGGTGATTCATCACCACAGACGTGTACTGTTGCTACTAGTACTACACGATGACAACAGAATGTCATCTGAAAACACCAGTACAAAGTCAATGTCATGAATATTCGTAAGTCGCTCACCTTGACTCATCTTTCCATTCCTTCACACATGTATCTCTCTGTTTTTATCTCCATCAACATGTTCTGCCAAATACTCCTCTACTTCCACCTACACAGTATCACACTATCAGAATACTGGACACATGGATTTTACTGAGCATGGATGACGTCATGAGACATTGATTACATACACACAGTGAGATGCAAAACAACAGACACCAAAGACTTTCTTCTGCTCCGCTGAGTTTCATCAAACAATACCAGGCCCGTCTTCTAGCTTGTGATATGAGCTAATTCAGGTGTTAGCCGATACCTTACTGTACTCTAGCTAGGTGGTGATGTTAGTGCAAAGATTATCAAGTCGTTGGTGCTGTGATTGACAGCATACAGTCACGTGATTGCATTTAACAGCAGTTGAGGTTTAGGCAATGGGTATAATTATAGTGAGTGACATGCGATATTGGCATTTGTGATGGACATGAAAGAATGATGAAACAGAACAAAGAAGGATAGACAAAACAACAATGATAAATGTTCGACCCATACACATTGAATGAATGAGAGAAAGGGTGTGCAAGTGTGAAGAAACATAACATGCGGTAAATGTAGTTTTCACAAAAATAGACAACCAATGGGTATACCGACGATCACAGAACAGTCGACCATTTGACAGAAATACTCTGTGGTTGTAACTCAGTGTGTCATACACAACACTGCAATCATCAGATACCATGATAATATTGGGTATACAAGGGTATACAAGACATGTACATTGTACATGTCTTGTATTGGTGTGGGGAGTGGGTACGCATTGAGTGAAATGAGTCTTGTTACAGTTCTAGGGTGCTATGGGTGTCACAGGCTAGAGCAGTGAGGTCTATGCAGGGGTTGCATGTGGATAGGTGATCATAGACATTATGGGGTATATGTGGGTGGTTGTAGGGATGGTGTGGCTGAGAAGACCATGGCAGTAGAGGTACTTCAAGTAGTTACGAATTTAGGTGGCATCGTGGAATTTTAGGACGTACTGGTATTTTGTGTTCGTGTCGGCACTATGAGACGAGCACTGAGGCATTGTTTGGGCAGGATGTAGAGCCTAGGTTGGTGATGATGTAGGGTCTATCTCAGTAGCGCACAGTGTGTATCGCTTAGTGATACTTGTGTAGGCTTTGTCGCCGTCCTTGGTTCTCCAATTCAGCTCATGGGCGGTGTTTGCTCGCATCAGATTCCAGATGTGCTTAGAGAGTTGTGTGACGTTGACGTATTGCTCGTGCTTTGTTGTGGATTCTGATTCATTCATACTCTCTATATTTTTTAGGATTCTCCAAACATTCCTGGATCTTTATCAGGGGACTTTCCTGGAAGGGTGGATGGGATGAAAGGGAAGTGAAAAGGGGTGAAGGGAAAAGACTTAGCAGAAACACTGCTCAAGAAGAACTACAGGTTAACACCAAGAGTATAATAACTACAAGCTCCTAGGGAGCTCATGTACTCTTGGTAAAACCCACCGGGGAGAACCAGAGTACATGAAAAGTAGAAGCACAGCCGCTAGACACGACAACCAGGAATTTCAGCCCTGGAGCATTTACATGTAAACTATAAGACTATAGAAATGGTCTTGAGCGTGTGTTACACTGACAGCACACATGATTAGTATTATTTAAAAAAACCTGCGAATATGATTATTGTGGATGGACAATTGTTAGAACTTAGAAATGTATTGGATTTCCGTAGGATATTCCATACAAAGCAGTAAGCATTGTCCCTTGCTAGAAAATAGGACCTACAATGTATGATCCGGGATAGCTCACAGACCACATCACTTTTTCACAGTTCGTGTGGGACCCAGGCAGACTGAGGTTTCAGCATCCGTAGGCACTCCATCTACATCATTTTCAAGCATGGCAAGGCGCTGATTCAACTTCTAAAGCAGTGGCAGTATCTGTTCAAGCATGGCAAGGCGCTGACTCAACTTCTAAAGCAGTGGCAGTATCTGCGATGCGCAAAAGTCCAAAAGAGGAAGAAGGCTTGTGCTCCAAAATTAGTATTGCATGATCTGTACCATGTACTGTACTTGTACATTTACTGGGCACGAGGTGAGGATTTTATCACCGGTTTACAGGTACATGTATTGTACTGTCGTGGACATGGAAATCCAGTCGATTGACCGGGGCCGACGCCCTCAGCGCGCACCGAAACGGTGCATGCAGTGCACATGATGTTGATCCGATGCGACCAACGCGCTTCAGCGCATGAATGCATGTGTGCACCGTTTATCCACGGCTGCATGGCCAGCGCCCTGGGGCCGCTAGACGTGCGACCGGATTTCCATGTCCACGACAGTACATCGTGTACATGCCAGTACTACTACAGGTGGAATCCTGATAATTCGAATATGGCTTAATTCGAACATACCGCTTAATTAGAAGTTTTTCCAGGACCGCGTACATATTGAGTTGTGGGTTCATGTTTGGATAATTAGAATGTCCGGATAATTAGAAGTTTTTCCTGGCATTTTGAGGTTCGAATTATCAGGATTTCACCTGTAGTACTACCAGTGATGGCGTGATGCTGACATGATGTGCAGAATCTGTACATCATGAAGAGTAGCAGATAATAATGTTCATGGAGATGAACTGGTACACCAGTAGGTCGGTTATGACAACTTGGTGCTTGAAGTAGAATTACTGAAATTGGAACCACAGTCCACTCCCAACTGGCACCGTGTATTGTTTGTTGGCTCCTACGCATACATGTGCATGATGTTAGAGACATGATAGGCAAAACAGTACATTCTTGGCTATGTAACCTGTGCAATCATTCCTTGCTAAGTTTGAGGCGGAAAAGGTCCGTACATACAGGAATTTTGTTCAAAGACAAGTTTTACAAAAATTAGGACAGTACTACAGTACCATGGCAAAATGTATGGAAAAGCACATAAAAATATAGAAATTGAAGTGGGTTTTGAGCCTAAATTCGGCCAAAATCGAGTTAAAAAAAAGCTGGTTGTACTATTCTGGATAAATGGACTAGACTAATGTCTATGAACTGGAATATGGTGAACAGACGCTAGGGAGCGTTGACACGACAAACGGCAATTGTTCTTTCCTCCGGCTGGCTGATTGATCATGTGCAGTTCACGTGACTTATGTCGTCGCTTGGCCATGCTTCTGGCTTGTTCCACGATGACATCAGCCTGAGAGTGCAAAGTACGTAACAGAACACAAGAAAAAGCAAAGCACAGTCTAATGCGAGTCACAGGCTTTTAACAAATTTACTTTTGCAAGTGTCGTAATACACAACAAGGATGTCTGTCTTAGGTATGGAAGGGTTTAGCAGTTTCTTTGAATGACTAAAATCACGCAAATGCAAAGAAAGTAAAATAGGGTTCCCTATATTAAGACGACACCGTCGGTAGGGTACCCCTAGGCCTAGTCGGTAGGGTACCCCTAGGCCTAGTCGGTAGGGTACCCCTAGGCCTAGTCGGTAGGGTACCCCTAGGCCTAGTCGGTAGGGTGCCCCTAGGCCTAGTCGGTAGGGTACCCCGAGGCCTAGTCGGTAGGGTACCCCTAGGCCTAGTACGGACCATCCTCTGCAAAGCTACTCTGGCACAGAGCTCTCCTTCTCACCAACATCAGGTCGCGCATGGCGCCTAGTCGATGCATGGTTAGTGGTATCTCACATGGCATGGCATTACATCAGGTAGCGCATGACACATAGCAGGTGACACAGCGGCGTCAAAACTCGATTGCGATGTACGTTTCGTCCCCGCTGGACACATCAGGCAATCTTGTTCTTGAACGTCTTCACACGGAGCTTGACTGGGGAGAATGAGGTTAATGACTCCACTACACCTGTACCTATGGCTGCACCTGTTGCACCGGGTTTGACGCCACAGCAATGTGTGATCTAAATCTGTTCCGAGTCCAAACAAAATTACTTTCTGTCATGGTATTGATTGAAAGTACTACAAAGGTGGCAAATGAAATCCGACCCCTGGTTTTCCTGCTCGAGTGCAGCACCGATTTTAGCGGTCTCTATTTCTTAGTGTTGCAATCCCATGATTGGTCTTTGCAATGTGAGAGCACCGCCCCAGGGGTCGGATTTCAGCTGTCAGCACTTTATTTGAACAACGTAGGTTTTACCTGATCATGATCCAGCTGAGAGAGTGTGACTTGAAGAAGGTAGGGAATACAGTCAGTTCCAGGACCAAACACTGCTTCAACAAGGGGAGTCAGACCGGCCTGTACAATAGACAGACACACACACATACACACACACATACACACACACGCACACAAACACGCACATACGCACACACACACACACACACACACACACACACACACATCAGACCTCAGACATCAGACCTGCCCATTGTGGAAGCGATGATAGCGAACAGCTATGTTGGACATAGCAACTTGTGCTGGGATTACACCATTCAACAGCTTGCAAGGCTGATGAAATAACCGCCACTATTTTTAGCCTGGTATCCACACACACACACACACACACACACACACACACACACACACACACACACACACACACACACACACACACTCACACACACTCACACACAGACACACACACACACACACACACACACACAATATATATAAACATGAATAAATTTACCATGGACACTAATTTGGACACGAAATACCCCCCCCCCCCCCCCCCGCCCCACACACACACAACAGCCATGCACACACACACACACACACACACACACACACGCACACACACACACTTGTACTTGTACTTGCTCACTGCCAAAACTGGTCACGTGGGTCTCCCCGGGAGAGGGGAGAAAGACTGAAAAGGAACCTTGGAAAGATGATTCAATTGGCCATTGAACCACCCAGCGGCCGACACCCTCTGAAATCCCCAAACTAGGGTGGACTTGAAATGGTCCCACTTATGGGCTCACCACACCTTAGTAAGTGGGTGAGGACAAGGTGCAGAAAAAGGATGGACGGCATCAGGGTATCCGTCCCGGGATCCAAATGCAGGTACCCCTGCCCCCAGTGAAGGTAATACTTGGTACTAGTGTGGGTGGCTAAATCAGAGTGGATCTGATATAAGCTTCACAAGCACCATTGATTACACAAGAGTTAATCTAGCCAGAAGCAGTCCATGTTTAACAGGTATGTATACTTCAAATAGAAAGTATATGAACCTTGAAACCAACAAAGGTGGTAGGCACAACAATACACCTTCAAGCAGCCGAGCCCGTTAGCAACAGGCCCAACACTATCTGGCATAAGTGTGCCCACCAACCGAACTCGCTGGCACACACACACACACACACACACACACACACACACACACGGAAGCCCCCCCCCCCCCCTCACTCACACACACTAGCCACCCCCCACCCCCTCCCACACACACACCAGCCACGCACACACACACACCAGCCCCCCCCCCCGCCCCACACACACACACCAGCCACGCACACCTACACAAACACAACCACCCACACCAGCCACGCACACACACACACTATCACACATACACACACATACGCGCGCACACACACACACACACACACACACACACACACACACAGACAATATAAACATGAATAAATTTACCATGGACACTAAATTGGACACGAAATACCCCCCCCCCCCCCCACACACACACACCAGCCACACACACAAACACACACCAGCCCCTCCCCTCACACACTAGCCACCCCCCCCCCCCCTCCACACACACACACCAGCCATGTACACACACACACACACACACACACACACACACACACACACACATACACACACAAAAACACACACACCAGCCCCCCCCCCCACACACACACCAGCCATGCACACACACACGCACACACACACACACACACACACACACACACACACACACACACACACACCAGCCACCCCCCCCCCCCCCCCACACACACACACCCACCAGCCACGCACACACACACAAACACATACACACACACACACACCAGCCACGCATACACACACACGCACACACACACGCACACATACACACACACCGCCCCCCCCCCCCCCCTCCCACACACACACACAAACCAGCCCCCCCCCCCACACACACACCAGCCACCCCGCCACACACACACACACACCAGCCACGCACACACACACCCTTCCTTCCTTCCTTCGCCCACTGCCACGATTGGCTGTGTCCCCAAACGGGGCGACTTGACGGAGTGCTGTCTTCGGGACGCGGCATGAGGCCCTGCGAGTCCGGCGGGACGTGAACGGCTGTTTCACTGTTTGTTTTTTGCTTTTGCAGAGCGACGGGATGTGCAACTATGTCTAGCGATGTCTTGAGGACGGCTGAAATGGCGTTTTGCAGACCATACACAAGAGTGGTTTCACGGCAGGTTGTATACGAGAGCATACCACGCTGTAGACTCCATCCTGACACCTGGTTCTCCACTCAGACCTATCATCTGCTGTGTCAAGCAGTACCCACAAACTTTGCAAAGCCGATAGTGTGATAATGTACTGTGGTGCATGCACCGATGGTACCACCACTTCGTAGACTGCCTCCCGTTCCTTTCTGTGCTCCTGTCTTTATTCTCGTCAGCTGTGCACTTCAGCAGTTCAATTCTGTGTTCCAGTCCTCTTTATACTCGTGAGCTGTGTACTTGTTTTGCTGTTTGTTTGGTATATTTGAATTCGCCCAGTAACCGTGTACTTCAGCTATTCTCTCCTCCCTCTTCTGAATTCGACTCTCCGCTGGCCTTCTCTCCTCCCATCCCCTTACATTGTATTGGGCCTCCGCAGCTCCCCCCCCCCCCCCCCCCCCCACCACCACCCCACGCACACACTACATTGTCACATAGCACAACTCAACCATTCACTACCCTGTTATTGAGCACTCCTGCTCGTTTGGTCTCGCAAATCCAAATAAAAATCAATCAATCAATCAATCATCAAGCCACTCATTCATGCCAATGGACACCGCTGCCAGGTCGTGTTTGATTGGGTTTTTCCACCTCTTCCGGGGGCCATGTGGAGGTCGTTTAGACGGCAAGGCACCAAAGAGCAGTTGGCGGGGAATACGGTCGTCCATGCGAGCCAGGTGGCCCAGCCATTGGAGACGACGGCGCCGGAGTCCATGTCTCCCCACCACCGCCGTACCTGAAGGGTTGTCACGTGCTCGTTCATCTGGCGCGCCCGACTGATGCCCAGGACCATGCGTATAGATCGCATATGAAACGACTCAGGACGCTGGAGATCCCGTTGCCTCGGTGTCCAGTTCTCAGCACCATAGAGGAGTACAGCCAACACAGTGACTCCGTACACAACACGCTTGAGACCGATAGGAAACTCGGAGTTCGCAAACACAGCCTTCTTCAAGGCGCCAAATGCACTCGAGGCTGCGGGACACACACACACATACACACACCAGCCCCCCCCCCCCCCCCATACACACACACCAGCCACACACACACACACACAAACAAACACAGACACAGACACCAGCCACGCACACACACACACACACACACACACACACACACGCACAGACATACACACGCACCAGCCCCCCCCCCCCCCCCCACACACACACCAGCCCCCCCCCCCCCCCAAACACACACCAGCCACGCACACACACACACCAGCCACGCACACACACCAGCCACGCACACACACCAGCCACGCACACACACAACACACACACACACACACACACACCATTGACCATTAAACGCCCATCGCCAGAGACGATGATAGCGATGCTACAGCAGAAGTCATAGCAACTTGTGCTGGGATTACACCATTGAACAGCTTGCAAGGCTGAAGAATTGACCGCCGCTACTAGTATTCAGCCTGGTCTACACCATACAGCTACAGTGATGGCAACTGAAATACGACCCCTGGGCGGCGCGGTGCGCCGCCCAGGGGTCGGATTTCAGTTGCCAGCCGCCCAGGGGGTCGGATTTCAGTTGCCAGCACTGAATGAAGTGGCTTTGCTGGCCAGTGAATCCCTACTTTTTGGTCTTTTTCATGTTTTTCCCGCACACACATCACACCACATACTCCGGCATGCACAGGCTGTTGGTAACCACCCAGGAGAATGAATGTAAAGTCAGGAGGAGTCTGAGAAAGAGAATAAAGACGTGCGGGCCATAATCGTCGGGAATCGAACCCGCATCCTCTCGATTGGAAATCGGTGCACATACCAATGCACCACATGGCACACACACACACATACACACTTACACACATACACCTGGTCCTGGTAAACACTGCCATTACGGTCACGTGTCCCCTTACGGGGCCGACAATATAGAACGACGAGCGGGACCACGTTTGAGAGAGCCATCTCCAGCAGCTATGGATCTGGCTTATCATCGGAAACAATTCCTCTCACGGCTGCCGCTACAACTGGTCCATCACTCTCCACAACAGAGCGAACATTCCATGAGCCAACGCTCTGAGTCGTTCCAAGTCGTCGTCTTCGTGCGGTAGTTTGCTCCTCTCGCGGGCTTGCAAAGCCTCGCGAAGGACTCAGAGGTGGGGGCGACGAGGAGAGTGTCGTCATCGTAACTATCCGACCAAGTCTCCTGTCGGTTAATACCCCACCTCAGGCACTGTTGGCCTGGACGGCTGGGGACACCCCAGGCCGTCCACAACGGCGAGAACAAGCACGAACGGAGGCCAGAAACAAGAGCCCGAAAAAGTACAACCGTTCTCCACCAGAGCAGAGAACAAACAACACATACACACACACACACAAACACACACATACGCACACACATAATGCAAAAGAACACACACACACACACACACGAACACACGAACACACACACACACACACACACACATGAACACACGCATGGAACAACACACTTAAAAGTACTCCCAGCAATCCAGTGCCAGCAAGGGTACATACCAACCTTGTTCTTTACAGCTATGTGTACTGGGCACACATCTAGAAGGTAGCGCACAGTCTCCACATGTCCCAAGCGTGCAGCACAGTGCAGTGGAAGTTGGCCATCCTGCACAGGAAAGTCATAATGAGGGATACCGATAGTCATGAACCAAATTTGAAATTCAGTTTCTGCTCTAATTCCACTTCATCAGCATAGCATGCTGATAATATTATATTGGTGCATTTCCCAAAACATGTTCATTGCCAGTGTAATGAAGATAAGCACCATGAACATCATGAATGGTCTAGAGAACTAATATCTCTATGGCCAACACCAATTATATCTACCCTAAAAGCCAATTGGTCTCCCGTGACACTGCACCAAACGGGTTCACATACAGTGGAGATAACGAGGAGAACAATTTGTGCGCAATGTGTTTTCAAAAGTAAGACTAGCTGGCAGCACAGGACTTCAGGGCAGCACTGGTGAACAAAATTAATATCGTCTTGAAAAAATATCGATATTTACGGACGGCCTCTAAACGAGGCCTTGGTGTATTAAGGTCGGACTAAGCAGGTTTTTTGGCGGAGCTCATGTCCGCTCAAAGGTAAATCGAGTACGGATTGACTCCACAACGTGCAATGTGTGTGCAAGGTTAAGGATGAGCCAGTGGGGCGCTTCCGCGGTACTTTACGGTGCTGCTACGTAGTACAAAACAGTGAGTACAGATGTAGCAGGTATGGGTGACAATCATTGCAAACAACTTACACGTACACAAAGGTCAAGTGCTGGTCAACACCAAATGACCAACATAGGCTGTGTTTACACGAGGCGTTTCAACCCAGGTTGAGTTCGACCCGCGTCAATTTTCTACCCGCCATGAACACAGATTGACTGGCCTATTTTTTTTAATCATATGACCGTACCTCTGTGTGTATCTTGCACCAGGTTTGAAAAGCACTGCACAGGCAAATTTCGCGCGAAAGTATTCACGTGACCATACAGGACTTGGGCGGGGGCATATCAGTATTTGGCCTGGGTCAAGTGCCATTACGTAAACACTCACGTATTTTTTCCCTTCGTACAGACTTTCAACCCGGGCTGAACTCCACCCGGGTTCAAAGTTATCATGTACATGTAAACGCAGCCTTAGAGCGCGTACTAAGTATTCCAGCTGACCTGGTCCGTGGCTGAGACATGTTATAGATATGAGTGCTATCAAGAGTACATAACCCCCAAGAGTGTGCAACTCCAGCTATGGGGTCTGCGACGGCAGAACTTCACATCACGTGATGAACCCGTACACATTATTTGCACTCTGTGCATGATAAATACAGGGTTGTACGCAACCCAGTTTCGGGTACAACCCGCTTGTGGTCAATTTGCACTGCTTGCCAGTGTAACCTATTGGACCATGTCATGTGATGTGAAGTTCTGCCGTCGCAACACTGCATAGAGATTGTGCAGGCAGTTACACATTCTTGGGGTTATGAACTCTTGGTGCTATGTATTCAAGCTGACCTGGTCCGTGGCTGAGACGTGCTCTGGTTGCATCTCCAGCAGATATCGCACTGTGCCCAATGCACCAGCAAAGGAGGCAAGATGTACGGGAAGAGACTTTGTCTGAAAGCATGGAAAACAGCAACCATGCAAACACAGATATACTTCTACACATCTAAAATTCCACTCAGGAATACGATATTGCGGGACGAGGGACTTATGTCCAATGCAGGGAGCCTAGCTGTACTACACCAGTATTCACTGCAATCCGACCCATAGTGCATATTTAGAACCATCAACTTGTATGTCCAATTGACGCCCTGGAAGTGGTATGAATACGACGACTGTACATAGTACACATGTACAGTCGTACAGTGATGTAATCAGAAACTGGTCCAGGCCAGGGTCAGCGTTGCCAGTGTACATGTATGGTGTAGGTCAATCAGAAACTGGTCCAGGCCAGGGTCAGCGTTGCCAGTGTATATGTATGATGTAGGTCAATCAGAAACTGGTCCAGGCCAGGGTCAGCGTTGCCAGTGTACATGTATGGTGTAGGTCAATCAGAAACTGGTCCAGGCCAGGGTCAGCGTTGCCAGTGTACATGTATGATGTAGGTCAATCAGAAACTGGTCCAGGCCAGGGTCAGCGTTGCCAGTGTATATGTATGATGTAGGTCAATCAGAAACTGGTCCAGGCCAGGGTCAGCGTTGCCAGTGTACATGTATGGTGTAGGTCAATCAGAAACTGGTCCAGGCCAGGGTCAGCGTTGCCAGTGTACATGTATGATGTAGGTCAATCAGAAACTGGTCCAGGCCAGGGTCAGCGTTGCCAGTGTACATGTATGATGTAGGTCAATCAGAAACTGGTCCAGGCCAGGGTCAGCGTTGCCAGTGTATATGTAGGATGTAGGTCAATCAGAAACTGGTCCAGGCCAGGGTCAGTGTTGCCAGTGTACATGTATGATGTAGGTCAATCAGAAACTGGTCCAGGCCAGGGTCAGCGTTGCCAGTGTACATGTATGGTGTAGGTCAATCAGAAACTGGTCCAGGCCAGGGTCAGTGTTGCCAGTGTACATGTATGATGTAGGTCAATCAGAAACTGGTCCAGGCCAGGGTCAGCGTTGCCAGTGTACATGTATGGTGTAGGTCAATCAGAAACTGGTCCAGGCCAGGGTCAGCGTTGCCAGTGTACATGTATGATGTAGGTCAATCAGAAACTGGTCCAGGCCAGGGTCAGCGTTGCCAGTGTACATGTATGATGTAGGTCAATCAGAAACTGGTCCAGGCCAGGGTCAGCGTTGCCAGTGTACATGTATGATGTAGGTCAATCAGAAACTGGTCCAGGCCAGGGTCAGCGTTGCCAGTGTACATGTAGGATGTAGGTCAATCAGAAACTGGTCCAGGCCAGGGTCAGTGTTGCCAGTGTACATGTATGATGTAGGTCAATCAGAAACTGGTCCAGGCCAGGGTCAGCGTTGCCAGTGTACATGTATGATGTAGGTCAATCAGAAACTGGTCCAGGCCAGGGTCAGCATTGCCAGTGTACATGTATGATGTAGGTCAATCAGAAACTGGTCCAGGCCAGGGTCAGCGTTGCCAGTGTACATGTATGATGTAGGTCAGATTTCAGTAAGTGTGAAACTGTAATACAGTACTCACTGAACATGTACAGCTATGCCAATTAATATCACACTGTACACCAGCAAACATCAAACCTCTCATACAAATACACTGCCATGTGATCACTAGGCAGATGTACGAGTAGTTGAAGAGAGAAAACACACGGCGGTCTATCCCATATGACCTATAGTTGACTATAGGTCTTATGAGACAAGACCTACAGTTCAATACAGGTCTTATGAGATAAGACCTACATAGGTCTTATTGTACTGAAAGGAATGTGTCATGAGGTGTGTGCAACATGGAATGACAAACCAGATCGTAACCTGGTGACATGGTGACATGAATTACGGTCAAACCCCGGACTATCTAGTACAATGCCGATAGTGATGCCATTATGCTATTGGCTATACTCCAAGGTACAGCACACCAGCACAGGGCTATGGTAATACTGCTTTCTGAAGAGTCTAGCCCCCCCCCCCCCTCCTCCTCTCACCACTACCCCCCCCCCCCCCCCCTCCTTCCCCCTCTCCACCATCCCATCTCCACCACCCTCCCCCCCCCCCCTCTCCACCCCCCTCCACCTCTCCCCAGCATGCAACCATCATCACATTCATATACACACTACCAGTGTCCCAGATCACTCACACAGCTCTGTACAGAAACAGACTCGGGATGAAGTTGCAGCAGATACTTGACAAGCTCTAAATGACCACACTGTGCAGCACGATGAACAGGAAGACAGCCATCCTGCAGGTATACAAACATAACAATCATGCCATATGAACACATGAGAAACCTGCTCAAGTAATTCATTATTTGAGTAAATAGTTTCCCTGCACTGCCACTATACTGTTGTAGTGCATACGGCAATAGCAGAAACGTGAAATGTGAAATGATATGAGTTTTATAATTCCCAGTCAGCTCAGCTCATCAACCTTTGTGGCAGGGCCTGTTAATGCATGCTAGCATTGACCACAGTTGGTCTGGGTGCGTTCGGGTTTAGCAAGTCAAGGCCGTGATCACAATTGCACATTGCATAGACAATGGATCACGTGAAATACCCAAATCTGGGATCTAGCACATACCGGTAATAATATAATATCATTCAGGACGGCCCGAAGCAGTTTTTGATTGGTCTGCCAGCAACATGGCCGCTTTCATACAGTTTGTGTATAATATGGTGGGCACAAGTGTCCTCCACAGTAGTACACATATGTTGCTAGCCAAAACGTTGGTCCGTTGATAACCTGACCAACCGGACTGGTTCCGATGGGCCTGTCATTTTTATTTATTTATTTTTATTTTATTTATTACAGCATCTCATAGCACAGTGAGAACACCGGCCAATACAAAGAGAGAGGGTGTTAGCCAACCACGGCAAGGAAGAGAGAAGGGGAGGAGAAGAAAAAAGGAACCGGCATGGATAAGTAGTGATTGCAACAAAATGAGAAACACAAAATCAAAGTCAAGGCGCGACAAGGCTCTTAAAAAGGCGGAGGGAAGAAAGGTCCTTAGCTTTCCAGTACTTTGAATCGTTTGATCACGTTTTGTTTTGCTAGATACTATGGCTTCCCGACTACCACATTCCCTTCACACATAGCATGCTGAACAAGGGCACAATGATCTACCTGACTTCAGGGACCACCTGCATAGACAACGGCCATGTTAGTTGTTTGGTCTGCTGCATGGCTGATTGCTCAAAGCAAGTTTTCTCGCTCAGGCTGATTGCTCAAAGCAGGTTTTCTCGCTCAGGCTGATTGCTCAAAGCAGGTTTTCTCGCTCGGGCTGATCGCTCAGAGCAGGTTTTCTCGCTCAGGCTGATTGCTCAAAGCAGGTTTTCTCGCTCAGGCTGATTGCTCAAAGCAGGTTTTCTCGCTAAGGCTGATTGCCCAAAGCTGGTTTTCTCGCTCAGGCTGATTGCTCAAAACAGGTTTTCACGCTCAGGCTGACTGCTCAAAGCAGGTTTTCTCGCTCAGGCTGACATCAGTCAGCACTAACTCTGTGTGAGTATATGGATTCAAGAATCTTCAGTCAATCTGTGGACAGAAAAGATTCGCCTGCTACTAGTTTTACTAGTTTCGTCATTGTCTTTTCCTCTCTTTGTTTGTGATTTTTCCTTTCTCTGTCTGATCGTAGGGATTATGTCTTATGTATAACTTGATAACGGAAAACTCTTCGGTGCAGCACAGAGAAAGTGAGGCTGAACATGTACATACACAGATGTACAATGCACAGCAAATGAATGTTCATTTCCATTTCTCCTGGAAGTTGTCCTTATAGCCTAGATCACATTCGACGGGGCGCGATGACGGGACGCGACGTAAGTATGGAGGGGAAGCAACGGGACGGTCTGACGGTGTCCAATGTGAACACCAGGAACGGGAACGCAACTGTACTACCGTACGGATCGGGAAGCGACGGGAAGAGTTGGATCTGTTCAACTTTTCATACTGAAGACGGGCGTAGACGGGGACGCAAGCGTACAAAACGGCTGCATTTTGAGTGTGAACAGGAGACGGTGGCGTGCGCCGACTACTCCCGATTCGCACATTGAAATTTTAGCATTTCGAACACGGCGGTTCCCATGATAACTCGCAGAATGGCTACCACAACTCGAGTTGAATTGTAGCAAGATTAGTTCTAATGTCGCTTATGGTATTTAGGGAAAGTTCAGGAGCGTGACAGACGAACTATTTTATCATTTCCTGGGGCTATTATTTGAATAGCACAACTTCCCGGGCTACTTTATTGGTCTTCATGAAAAACTGGTATTGTGGACTTGATTCCGCTTCAGTCAAGGAGAAATAATTGAAAAGAAGTCCCGAAAAATAAGAAATTAGGTCCGAAAGTCACCCGTCAAGGACCGTGCCTTGTGATTCGCGCCGTTCGCTGTTGAACATAGCAACGACTGCAGCACGTCGTGGCGTACGAATCGTACAAAATTGTACAGGTCGCCCCAGCCGTCCCGACAGGCCCTTACGTCCTGTACCGTCGGCGTTGCGTCGAATGTGAACTAGGCTTAATAATCAGTCACAAGATCATGCCACGCAAACCAAGCTGAACATAATGACATTGACACCCCCTGAACTTACCGTGTCTGGCATGTCCAGTTTTGCTTGATACTCCAGCAAACTCCTGACCATGACGGTGCGATCAAACCAACATGCAGCGTGCAATGGTGTCCACTTCCATTCGTACTGGTAATGAAGAAGAGCAGGAGACAAGACATTCGTATTCGTAAAGAAGAGTAGATTCCGTCAACTGTCACATGACTGTAACCATGACAATCGAGTATGCAGCCAATCAGCAGCCTTCGCGATCGTGCAATGTTTCCCCATACAGCATTTCAGGATCAGTTCAAGTAAAGGTGTTAGTGTTAGGTCCTCTGGCTAAACACTCCCCAGGGCGCTGTTAGAACTTAGAAGACATGTTTCATGACAGTAGGAAGCATTAGTATTCAATGTGACTTTGATAAGCTAGGTAGCCAAGGTTCATAAACTAATCAACTATTAGTGTAGTCACTGGCCCCAATGTTCTATGGCAAGTGTTGTGCAGGTGGGTTTTAGAACAGTTCATTGTGGCGAACTGCAGTGCAATAGAGTGCAATGTACAATACCTACACCAACTCACTTCTCGATAAAGTCCGTTGAGAATGCCCGCTCCGCAGCATTGTGCAATGACGCACACACACTCCAGTCTGTCTGTTACACACGCATTGTGCAGTACATGACCCTATTATGTACACCGGCATTCACACACACACACACACACACACACACACACACACACACACACACACACACATACGCGCAAACACACACACACACACACACACACACACACACACACACACACGCACACACCATGTACCATGTACCATGTATACGCCCATCGCAAGAGAAGCACGCAAATCTGCAAATGCACTGGATGTGCACCCCCAGATTTTCTCTTATAGTTATAGCAACGATAGCGAAACAGATCTGAATGAGACAGATCAAGACTTGTGCCAGATAACTGTCTAACCCACACAACTGGCAAAGTCATGTGAATCGACCACCAATGCACACCTGGCCTACACACACACGCACACACACACATACACACCCCCCCCCCCCCTACATACACACACAGGAAAACACACACGCACAAACATCTGCCTTGTGTAATCGAAGGCTGTGTTCCAACTGTGTGGCATACATGACTTACCAACAGAGATTCTTGCTCTCCACTCTTGTCACCATAACCGCGTGTGTTGGTGTACTTCAGTCGTGCGAGGTCTTCTTTTAGACTACCATCAGCAGCAAGTATGACCCTCTTCAACTCAGTGGGATCATTACGCTTCACAAGACCAAGGAGATGCCCTCTAGTATCCCTAGTATCACTAGCTGCTGGCATTGTTCCACTGACCTGGGCAGAACAGACAAAATAACACATCACACATCATACAACATACATTACACATTACACACCACACATTACACATTATAATTATTATTCCTGTAGCTATGCGTAAGACGTTGCTTCAGCAGGGTCCACACAGCTTTAATTCCGTGTTTCTTTCTTTGTTTGTGCCATCGGCATGCCTGGCGCTATCCTGTCCCTGTCCCGTAACGTAACATCAAGGACAGCATCGTCATGCCTGTCACATACACACCTTTTGACCTTGACCTTTTGACATCCATTGCCGGAAGCCATGATTGTGTTAATGATTCTGTCACACAGCAATATCCTCTTCACCACGCACACACAGCCATTCCCTCTTCACCACGCACACACAGCAGTATCCTCTTCACCGCGCACATACAGCCATTCCCTCTTCACCACGCACACACAGCCATTTCTTCTTCACCACACACACACACACACACACACACACACACACACACACACACACACATACACAGCCATACTCTCTTCATCACACACACACACACACACACACACACACACACACACACACAGCCATTCCTTCTTCACCACGCACATACAGCCATTCCCTCTTCACCACGCACATACAGCCTTCACCTCTTCACCACGCACATACAGCCATTCCTTCTTCACTACACACACACACACACACACACACACACACACACACACACACACATACACATACACACACACACACACACACACACACACACACACACACACACATATCCATTCCTTCTTCACCACGCACACACAGCTATGTCCTCATTGATAGTCTGAAAATAATAATGTTCTGCAGTGCGTTACGGGAACGCGACACGGAGAATCCCGAGAGAACTCTTCGCGTTCCTGTAATGTAAAGGAAACTTGTTCTGCTCTACGTACACGTAGAGAAATCACGTGAATGTGTGCTCGAAATTATCCTTCCATATTTTGGCACTTCTCTGCGTTACTTTGGAATGATACCCATCAGGTACGTACGCATTTTCTTTGCGTGTGCCAGGACGTAGAGAATGTCATCTATGCGTAGAAATCCGGACCCAAAACACTCGAAGCCGTAGACTCTAACCCTGACACCTGCTCTCTTCGTGATTTCTCTAAGTTTAACGTACAGCAGAAACTCTCTATCAGAGAGGTTAAGATGCACGTTATTTCTGACGTGACGCGCAATTTCACGTCAAATTTGGTGTAAAACTCCAAATTTCGATGTGAACTGCAGGTCACTTACGTCGTTGTTTTTCAACGCGCGAGACAAGTAACGCCAGTACGTACATGTACTCGTACATGCACCCCCACCCCTCACCCCACCCCGCCCCTCACCCCACCCCTCTCTCTCTCTCTCACTCTCTCTCCTACGTACACAAACAAACAAACGCGATCAGAAAAACTCACCAAGAGCGGTGCGAGCGCTAGCGACGTGTCTCACTCAGACATGCACCTACACCAGTCACCACTAATCCAGCGTCCAGCCATTCATACTAGCAGTCGCATGTTGGGATTGGCAAAGTTCAGCCAAAGGACGTACAAGATTGTAGTACTGAGCACATGTAGGAATGACTGTCTGTACATTTTCGTAGAGGTACCAAGGCAAGGGCCAGGGAATGCAGCTCGCAGCGCAGGGATGTCCGAACAGAAGATGTCCAAAACATTGTTTCTTTGCCACATGCACACGGTAGATCTACACTGACTACGCGTATACGGAGCTGTACAACGACCGGCGTAACTCAGTTCTGTCGTTGTCCGACACAGACTCACTCAGTAGTCAGTACAGTACAGACCGACGGACAGCTCCGTCATTCAGACACGGAGTACAAAAATGTACTGTACAGTAACATGTAGGTCTTTGGAAAATAATCAAAAACCATCTGCTGCATGTTGGACAGCTATTTTTGCCGTGTGAGCTGTGTGAGCTATCCGGCTATCAAGATATTTAAAAGTCTACAAAAGTACTTTTTTGTACTACAAAAAGAAGTACAGTATCATTGAAACTGGCCAGCCGGAGCCCCTGGCCTAGGCCGCTAGGCGGGAGCATGCAGGAGACCTGGCCGGGCCATGATCAAGAGTAGGGCCTAGGGGCCCGGGCTAGGGGCGATCACTTCAGTACTCATGTCATTCATGACTAGTAATAGAACACAACGATGAAGATGTATGGATAAACACAACGATGAAGATGTATGGATGAACACAACGATGAAGATGTATGGATAAACACAACGATGAAGATGTATGGATGAACACAACGATGAAGATGTATGGATAAACACAACGATGAAGATGTATGGATAAACACAACGATGAAGATGTATGGATAAACACAACGATGAAGATGTATGGATGAACACAACGATGAAGATGTATGGATAAACACAACGATGAAGATGTATGGATGAACACAACGATGAAGATGTATGGATGAACACAACGATGAAGATGTATGGATGAACACAACGATGATGATGTATGGATAAACACAACGATGAAGATGAATGGATAAACACAACGATGAAGATGTATGGATAAACACCACGATGAAGATGTATGGATAAACACAACGATGAAGATGTATGGATAAACACAACGATGAAGATGTATGGATGAACACAACGATGAAGATGTATGGATAAACACAACGATGAAGATGTATGGATGAACACAACGATGAAGATGTATGGATAAACACAACGATGAAGATGTATGGATAAACACAACGAGTCGGAGTAATAAGTAAAAAAGTTAGTTAGTATTCAGGCACTGAGTCAGTTTCGAAAAAAAGTGAACTCAGCAAATTGTTAAAAATTCTTGAGACAACGAAATTTGTTGTAGTGTTTTGTTCTCCTGTATACACCCTGGTGCCGAAAGGCGGGCTCACGCCCCGACATGGCTACTTCCCCTTGTCTATAGCCCCCAAGACGAAAATGATAGTAGCCGACTGGCCGAAAATAAAAAAAATAAAAAAAAAATACACCCTGCCCCTAAACCCTGACCATCGATAGGTTTTCTGACTGCTTTTCTTCTTGTACATACTCTGTTTTTGCTTGCTGCTTGCCTCCCTACTACTCAGAGTCTCTAAAGTACTTAGTATCTGCTGCTGCTACACTATGTTGTTCTTTCCTCTTTGATTAATTTCATGAACTGGCAGTATTTTCTATGTGTGGTGACGATGTAGTATGTTATTGTGTGTGTGTGTGTGTGTGTGTGTGTGTGTGTGTGTGTGTGTGTGTGTGTGTGTGTGTGTGTGTGTGTGTGTGTGTGTGTGTGTGTGTGTGTGTGTGTGTGTGTGTGTGTGTGTGTGTGTGTGTGTGTGTGTGTGTGTGTGTGTGTGTGTGTGTGTGTGTGTGTGTGTGTGTGTGTGTGTGTGTGTGTGTGTGTGTGTGTGTGTGTGTGTGTGTGTGTGTGTGTGTGTGTGTGTGTGTGTGTGTGTGTGTGTGTGTGTGTGTGTGTGTGTGTGTGTGTGTGTGTGTGTGTGTGTGTGTGTGTGTGTGTGTGTGTGTGTGTGTGTGTGTGTGTGTGTGTGTGTGTGTGTGTGTGTGTGTGTGTGTGTGTGTGTGTGTGTGTGTGTGTGTGTGTGTGTGTGTGTGTGTGTGTGTGTGTGTGTGTGTGTGTGTGTGTGTGTGTGTGTGTGTGTGTGTGTGTGTGTGTGTGTGTGTGTGTGTGTGTGTGTGTGTGTGTGTGTGTGTGTGTGTGTGTGTGTGTGTGTGTGTGTGTGTGTGTGTGTGTGTGTGTGTGTGTGTGTGTGTGTGTGTGTGTGTGTGTGTGTGTGTGTGTGTGTGTGTGTGTGTGTGTGTGTGTGTGTGTGTGTGTGTGTGTGTGTGTGTGTGTGTGTGTGTGTGTGTGTGTGTGTGTGTGTGTGTGTGTGTGTGTGTGTGTGTGTGTGTGTGTGTGTGTGTGTGTGTGTGTGTGTGTGTGTGTGTGTGTGTGTGTGTGTGTGTGTGTGTGTGTGTGTGTGTGTGTGTGTGTGTGTGTGTGTGTGTGTGTGTGTGTGTGTGTGTGTGTGTGTGTGTGTGTGTGTGTGTGTGTGTGTGTGTGTGTGTGTGTGTGTGTGTGTGTGTGTGTGTGTGTGTGTGTGTGTGTGTGTGTGTGTGTGTGTGTGTGTGTGTGTGTGTGTGTGTGTGTGTGTGTGTGTGTGTGTGTGTGTGTGTGTGTGTGTGTGTGTGTGTGTGTGTGTGTGTGTGTGTGTGTGTGTGTGTGTGTGTGTGTGTGTGTGTGTGTGTGTGTGTGTGTGTGTGTGTGTGTGTGTGTGTGTGTGTGTGTGTGTGTGTGTGTGTGTGTGTGTGTGTGTGTGTGTGTGTGTGTGTGTGTGTGTGTGTGTGTGTGTGTGTGTGTGTGTGTGTGTGTGTGTGTGTGTGTGTGTGTGTGTGTGTGTGTGTGTGTGTGTGTGTGTGTGTGTGTGTGTGTGTGTGTGTGTGTGTGTGTGTGTGTGTGTGTGTGTGTGTGTGTGTGTGTGTGTGTGTGTGTGTGTGTGTGTGTGTGTGTGTGTGTGTGTGTGTGTGTGTGTGTGTGTGTGTGTGTGTGTGTGTGTGTGTGTGTGTGTGTGTGTGTGTGTGTGTGTGTGTGTGTGTGTGTGTGTGTGTGTGTGTGTGTGTGTGTGTGTGTGTGTGTGTGTGTGTGTGTGTGTGTGTGTGTGTGTGTGTGTGTGTGTGTGTGTGTGTGTGTGTGTGTGTGTGTGTGTGTGTGTGTGTGTGTGTGTGTGTGTGTGTGTGTGTGTGTGTGTGTGTGTGTGTGTGTGTGTGTGTGTGTGTGTGTGTGTGTGTGTGTGTGTGTGTGTGTGTGTGTGTGTGTGTGTGTGTGTGTGTGTGTGTGTGTGTGTGTGTGTGTGTGTGTGTGTGTGTGTGTGTGTGTGTGTGTGTGTGTGTGTGTGTGTGTGTGAAGATTCCGAAGCATTTTGGAAGTTGGACTAGTTTCGACTCCACCACCCAGTGTGTCGTTTCTATAATAGCTTTCATGGCTGAGGTTGTTGGTACGTCTGTTGGCCATGGGTTCCCAGTACCCAGTTGCCGAGGCTGGTGGATAAAATAACTCCAGTTTCACTCAAGGTGCAGTGCATCTAGTGTCTACTTTTGTCAAAGCAGCATGCTGTCTATACCGGTTACCACAGCAAGTGTAGGGTGTGCGTAGGTCATAATGTCTTGGCCGTCCCATTCCGATGTACTCCGTGTGGTGTAGACAAGGTGTGCTGTGATCGATTCACATGGCTTCGCCAGTTGTGTGGATTAGACAGTTATCTGGCGCTTGTCTTGATCTGTTTCAATCAGAATCAGATCCGCTATCGTTGCTATAAAGAGAAAATCTGTGGCTGCACATCCAGTGCATTGGCAGATTTGCGTGCTTCTCTTGCGACGGGCATACATGATACAGGGTGTCATTTCGCCGTATAGATAAAGACGGCTCATGAGCTCATCAGGTGTCCAGAAATAGACTCTGACGGAGAGCCAAGGATTAATTTTATAGAACAGAAAATGGACCAAAGAACTACAAGGTAGGGTACAATGTTCACTAACACCACCAGCTAGTACTAAGCAATCAGCTCATACCATAACATAATGCACGACACTGACCACTGACCGAGGGTACTGACGTTCTACAACTAACTGGCTAATAGCTTTAGCACATCTTGGATACGCACTACAACAGCTTTCCAACTATTACTTGGAAGGTTCTTAGTTATAGAAATAACATAAGGAGGGGGAGGTGAGCGCAACCAATATAAGCACGAGCTGAAAGTAGCTCAGCTAGCTGTGAAGGACGTTGGCGGATGTTCATGCATGTCGATGACGATACTGGCAAGACCATTGGAAGACTGGGGTGTTGGCGTCCACGCCGTCCAGTGTACAGACACCAGTCACATTTCCTGTGTCTTTTGCAGCATAGAGGCTGAGACTCATGACTGTAGAGTCCACTACTGCCGGCCATTCACCGACAGTTGGCTACACGATCCTGGAGGAATTAGATTCCAGTGAAAACCCAAGATTCTTTTGCTCCTGGACGCTCCGACGTGTTGTGATATCTGCCAGGTGCGCAGTAACTAGTATTTTCATCGCTATAGCGAGGACGACGCCGATCGGCAAACTCTAGCTCACAGCCATCACCAGCCTCTCAAAACCATCACTTGGCATCCCCAGAACGTACCTCGTAAGTAGCTCCGCTTTCCGTCCTGTCAACAAAACACCCTGCTTTCGTAGATAATCTCTCAGCTGCTTTATAGTCCAAGAAGGCTGAGGAACCTCCTCTACCAGCTCTCCGACACTACTCGTACCGACTCTGCCGTCCTCACCCTCCATGACCGTGTGACTCGACTGTGCACCAGCTCTGTCCACTCGAAAAAAACAAAACCAGCAAGAAAGTGTGTACTTTGTCTGCTTGACCCAGCGCTGCTGCATGCGCGCTGCTGCAGCGCTGGGTCACCTGACGCCCCCCTACGCGTACGCTTGCCCCCTTTCGGCACCCCTACCACTAGTAATGCACTATTTGCGCAAAAGCTTCCAGTGACGTAATCACAGTTTGACATTCCTAGGTGACATGATGTAGTTACTTTTCGTAGTTCTTTTCCTTTCTTTGAGGGTGTACCATATACAATGATATATGTACCAGTGCATGCAGTGGTGCGTACAGGATCCCCCACGAACACGAGGGCAGGACCGCT